AAGGATAAAGTCCTTTTAAAATGGGGAAAAAATTTTAGTCTTATCTGAAATTAAATGTTTGATGTCCTGTATTAACTTTGGTAAACCTAACCTAAACCAACTAACCTTAACTCTGTGTTGCCTTCGTCCTCAATGTAACTCTTGTTGTCTCTTCTCTCAGGTTTTCATCTCTTGTACTGACTTACAAAAGTCACTTGCATATTTTAGTCTTTTCTTTCATGTTTCCTTTTGGGTTTTTATTCCATCTTTTCACTTTTCTTCCTTCCTTTCTTTTCAACATCTACGTTTCTTGAGGAATTTTACCCCAACTAACCAAAGAAAATTAGGAACCATTTCAACATACACACGTGAAAAAGGATACGGAAGATTAATTTATTCTAATAACAAAATAAACATTACCATCTACACTGAAAACGTTGTTACTGAGTCCAGGAGTAATTGAAGAGATCCCTTCACCAGCTTTGGAATAAGCCGGAAGCGCTTCACATAATGAGCTAAAATTTTTATAGCATTTTTTTTGGTCGACATTCAAACTCTTCTCTACCTTTAGTGTTTAGCCAGAGAGAGCGTTGCTTGTTGTGTTAATGAAACAGTTTAATTACACTAGTCAGGTTATGCCTCCTTCCTGAGTTCACTTCCCGGTGCAATGGTGAATTCTGGTCCTTGTTTCAGTCTGTGTATTAAATCGTATCCAAGAGACACAGCCCGCATGATGTGAATGATGGCTTCTAAATTCTCTTTATAGAATTTAATCACTCAAAAAAATTATCGATACAAAATTGTGTTGAAAAAATATGACTCGATGAACGAAAGATTTTGACAAACCTACCGAGACAACAGGAGTCATTCTGGAATTCATCGATCACCCCAAGTATAGATAGTTTTTTTTTTTAGTAACTGTACAAGAACAACACCTGCCAGAGCCAAAGTAGTAAACAGAACATTCCTCTCGCCCTTATGATGGTACACCTCCTTCTGTACCCCTCGCACTGTTGTCTGGTTCAAGAAGGCTTCCTATTACTCTTGACGGAGGATCACCTTCAGGAGACAGGCTCTTTGATCTTAAACATGACCTTCACAGTCTTCTGTTTTCCACCTTTCATGAGCTGGTGTGTGTGTGTGTGTGTGTGTGTGTGTGTGTGTGTGTGTGTGTGTGTGTGTGTGTGTGTGTGTGTGTGTGTGTGTGTGTGTGATTCTGTTATGGACACCCTGCATATTATAATCTTCTGGACTCGTATTTTACATGTCACAAACAGGCGATGGTATAGCCAGATAATATCAGGTCATTGTTTCCATACAAATAAATACTGACAGATAGGATAAATAACAGTAAATTAATTGAATGAACGGAGGCCAACCACAAACAATAACATAGGAGGTTTTACAGAGTTCGGTTCATGAAGAGAAAATCCATGAATTGTATAAACAAATTTGAAAAACATTTATACATCGGGAAACACCAACATAGTTTTATTGGATATACAAACTATTCAAATAACATACAAATAATGACTGAGTGTTTGAGCAGTCGAGCTGACATGTGGATACTCGACTACAGAATACACTAGTCTATGTTATTAAAGTTTATTATGTATTTATTTATGAGAAAATGTATTGATATTGTATGAATTTTTTCCCCCAGAAACATAAATTATAGATATTTTGGCTCTTTATCTTTTATTGTGATTCTATACTAAAGAGGATATATATTAATGTTTAAATTATCGTTCAAATTTCTGTAAAAAAAAAAAGTTTCGAACTAAATCAAACTTTTTAAGGAACACATCTGGCCTATGGGAATATTTACTCTCTACTATACTTTCCCCCGGAGCCTAGGATTCTACCCGGCGAGTTGGGACATCATCGGTCAAACTGTGTTGGATGAGTTTGTGAAGTTATAATGGAAGTTAGTGGCTGTGTTATGAAGGTTATCCGTACTATAGGAAGGGGACTAACTTGAGACAAACGCTGAACCAATACACGGATAATCTTAGCGTAAGTAACAGAACTGATTGGCAATATCTTTCAGTGGATCACAGTATATGACTCTCTCTCTCCCTCTCTCGATCTTTCTTTCTTTCTTTCTTTCTTTCTTTCTTTCTTTCCTAAATACCAAGAAGACACCGGAAACTCGTACATGTCTGCCGTAATAAACCTCTAAAGTCTTATTATCGGTTCTAACTACATTAATCTTTGTATGATAAAAGATAAGAATAGTTACCGAGCGTTATGCTGTGATAGACTCTTACGTTACTGAGCTGCACGTGGAGGTTAGGAAGAAGTTGAGGGTCGGGGAAGGAAAAAAATACGTCGCGTAATAAAGAAATCAGGAAGATCGACTCTGTTTACAAGTCATGAATAAGAACTGTCGCCTTTCATTTCCCACTAACGACCTCCAAGACGGGAAGAAACTACTGTACCTCGTTCATATTGAGTGGAGTTTGGTAGTGACCTCTCCTCTTATGTGGGATGAAGGGAGGGGAGGGGAGGAAGGGATGGAGGGAGGATGGTTGGATGGATGAAAAGGGGAGAGGGAGGAAGGTGGACAGGGAGGGGATGTAATGGAGGGAGGGAGGGAGAAAGGTGGACAGGGAGGGCAGGAAGGGAGGAGGGATGGCTGGAATAAATTTAACGTAATTATGGAGAAACAAAATTACAAAAAATAAATAAATAAATAAAAAAACAGTGACATAATAAACAGAAACTCAACTGTGAATGTAAGAGATTTAGTTGTTGTTGTTATTGAGTGGCGGCAAATTGAGGGGCTTATGGGAGTACCTGGCAGAGTGAGGGACTTATGGGAGTACCTGGCAGAGTGAGGGGCTTATGGGAGTACCTGGCAGAGTGAGGGGCTTATGGGAGTACCTGGCAGAGTGAGGGGATTATGGGAGCCTGGCAGAGTGAGGGGGCTTGGGAGTACCTGGCAGAGTGGGGATTATGGGAGTACCTGGCAGAGTGAGGGCTTATGGGAGTGCCTGGCAGAGTGAGGGACTTATGGGAGTACCTGGCAGGTGAGGGGCTTGTGGGAGTACCTGGCAGAGTGAGGGGACTTATGGGAGTGCCTGGCAGAGTGAGGGGCTTATTAGAGTGAGGGGTTTATGAGGAGTACCTGGCAGAGTGAGGGACTTATGGGAGTACCTGGCAGAGGAGGGGCTTATGGGAGTACCTGGCAGAGTGAGGATTATGGGAGCCTGGCAGAGTGAGGGGCTATGGGAGTACCTGGCAGAGTGAGGGACAGTGCCTGGCAGAGTGAGGGGCTTATGGGGTACCTGGCAGAGTGAGGGGCCAGGGAGCACCTGGTGGGAGAGGGGATTATGGGAGCACCTGGGCAGAGTGGAGAGGGGCTTATGGGAGCACCTGGCAGAGTGAGGGATTATGGGAGCACCTGGCAGAGTGAGGGTCATGGGAGTACCTGGCAGAGTGAAGGCTTATGGGAGCACCTGGCAGAGTGAGGGGTGGAGTACCTGGCAGGGAGGGGATTATGGGAGTACCTGGCAGAGTGAGAGGGGCTTATGGGAGCACCTGGCAGAGTGAGGATTGCCTGCAGAGTGAGGGGATTATGGGAGTACCTGGCAGAGGCAGGTGAGAGTACCTGGCAGAGGAGGGGGCTTATGGGGAGTACCTGGCAGAGTGAGGGGATTATGGGAGTACCTGGCAGAGTGAGGGGCTTATGGGAGCACCTGGCAGAGTGAGGGGGCTTATGGGAGTACCTGGCAGAGTGAGGGGCTTGTGGGAGTACCTGGCATGGGAGCACCTGGCAGAGTGAGGGGCTTGGCAGGGGGAGTACCTGGCAGAGTGAGGGGCATGGGAGTACCTGGCAGAGGGGCCAGGGAGTACCTGGCAGAGTGAGGGGATGGGAGTACCTGGCAGGTGAGGGGGGAGTACCTGGCAGAGGGGCTTATGGGAGCACCTGGCAGAGTGAGGGGCTGGGAGTACCTGCAGAGTGAGGGGCTTATGGGAGTACCTGGCAGAGTGAGGGACTTATGGGAGTACCTGGCAGAGTGAGGGGCTTATGGGAGTACCTGGCAGAGTGAGGGGATTATGGGAGTACCTGGCAGAGTGAGGGGATTATGGGAGTACCTGGCAGAGTGTGTGAGCCTGAAACGAGGTATTATGGAGGTGTTATCCACAGTAGGATCATGGCACTGTGATCGGTGCCTCTGGTGTGGTGGTAGTTAGGAATCGTGGTGGTTCGCTAGAGCTTCATGGTCGTGGGTAATAGTGGTTGAAGGTTGTAGGAGGTCTTGTGTACCGATGCTATTAGAGAAGTGTGTGTGTGGGTGTGTTAGTAGTTGTGGTGATGGTAGTGATGGTTGTAGGAGGTCTTGTATCGGTTATTGGTGAACACTTTAACATATTCATCACATCTATGTATTTTACGGAGCCAAAATATTTCCCTATATATTAAGTATCAATTTCCGATGAACCAACACCGTATATATCAGCTTTAAGAGGAAAAATAACTGAAAAATACTTCCACAGACTATTTCCTGATGTTTTGTTTTTTTCCCCGCCATAGAGAGGTATTTTTTCCCCAGTTATTTTCTTTTACACTGGTGGTTAGTGGCGAGTGTTGGTGGTTGTGGTGGGTGTTGGTGGTTGTGGTGAGTGTTGGTGGTTGTGGTGAGTGTTGGTGGTTGTGGTGAGTGTTGGTGGTTGTGGTGAGTGTTGGTGGTTGTGGTTAGTGGTGAGTGTTGGTGGTTGTGATAAGTGGCGGGTGATGGTGGTTGTGGTGAGTGTTGGTGGTTGTGGGAAGGCTGGTAGGAGTGTGGGGAGTGGTGGTGGCCACACTCACACGGGTACTCCCTCTCTCACATCCTTGACCACACTCACCTAAAACAATGGCCATATATTTGAGGGATACCAAATGCCATGGCCACAAACACAAGGGTACCCACCAATGGCCGTGGCCACAATCACAAGGGTCCTCACCATTGACCGTGGCCACAATCACAAGGGTACTCACCATTGGCCATGGCCACAATCACCAGGGTACTCACCTACGGCCGTGGCCACACCCAGGCCTCTGATGCAGTAGGGAAGGTTCTCCCAGAAGCAGCCACAGCGAGCCTCCTCATAACTCATGGTGGCCGGATACTGTTGCTTCTCTGTCCAAGTGTACTGTCCTACCCGGCCACTATATCTGGACTTATCTGGCCTTTGAGTATGTGTTTATCTGGCCTCTAAGTCTTGGCTTATCCGACATTTAAAGTTAGTTTAGTTTATCCGGTCACACAACAATGATTTTTTTTCTCTCGTCGAGTTACGTAATATTTGTGTGTGGGTTTCGTCTGTCTCTACACCACATGTCGGATTATCTTAAGCCACCATTTACACACACTCTTTTTCTTTTCTGATCACTGTGTTAAATTTGTTTGTAGTGGTGTTAGATAATGCTATGTTGTGTTCACTGTCTGTCAGGTGATGAATTTGCTGTGATGTCCTAATTAAGGTGTAAAGTTGTCAACCGCAGTAGAGGCAACACTGTGATTGGTGGATATATTTTCAACACTTCATCTCTATTGAATGATATATTATTATGAGTTTATCAATTTTATATTTTCTTCAAATGTTTATCTTGGTTTAAAATACGTATTGTGTTAATATTCTTTTCTTCCTTATTTCTTGTTTTCTTCAGGTGATTCATCTGAAAAAAAATATATTATAATTAATTTAACAATATATTTATTTATGAATAATGTAGACTAGTTTAATATATTTCAAGGGATTGATGAAGGGTAGAAATAATAATGAAAGAAATAAGAATTAAATATTTGAGGATAGTTTATGAAAGAAGTGATGAATGATAGAATTTATGGCTTGGGGAAAAAAGAATGAAAAGATGCAGCAGTTAGTCGTAATGTGATGGGGAAAAGAAAACACAAGTGGGTATACGGAAGAGGACTGGCGTCTTGTCATGCTAATATATGCAAATGACACACTTCCCTTGGGGGCGGTAGGCGGGGATGGGGGTGGTGGGCGGGGGTGGTGGGCGGGGGCGGGGGCGGTGGTAGGGAGGGTGGTGTAAAACAGAAGAAGGTGCAATAAGTCCCCAAACATCCCCCCCCCTCCTCCCTTTTTTTAGAAGAGTTTACTAAAAAAAATATCAATAACAGAGAAAATAAATTAATCTGTTGATGTTATGTGTGTGTTACCTGTATTGCAATAGGGTGTTTAGGCAGGTAAATTAAGGTAATGGTAAGAAAATCCAATGGTTTGTTGGGGAGAGAAGGAAATGCTTGATAAATAAGAGGATTTACTGTAAAAACAAATAATTTACCAAAGTGAAGAGGATAAATGCAGAAAGACGTATAGGTGAGAATTATTATATTAGAAAATAAATGAAAATGAAAAAACAAATTAGCATAAATGCAAAAAATATATTCAATTGTAAAATACATAAATGTTAAAGAAAAAATAGAAAAAAATAGTTGCAAAGAGAATCGCTACTTAATTAGAAAATACAATGTAAAAAATAAAGTATCTTTGGGTGTTGACATTATACTACTATTAACTATAAAATATTCCGATAAAATAAAGAGAAAGACGGAAGGCTTTTGGCTTTTACTGCACGAGACCCAAGGAATAGCATTTAGAGTAAGGGAATGTTGTCATAAAGGAAGAAATGACGAAATAATTTAAATCCAAGGAAGATGAGAATAAGGAGAAGTAAGAATAGTGAAGAGAAGGAAAGAAGAAAAAATGCAATGCTGAAATCAGTGAGTGAAATTGATTGACAGATAAGGATCTAAGTGATTTATTTTTTAAAGAAAGAAAGGAGATAAGGAGGATATAATAAAGTGAGAGATGAGAGAGAAGAGAAAGTAGAGAGGAGTGTATGATAGATGGCTGGGTGGGGGGTGGGTGTCTGAAGGAGGAGGAGGAAGGGAAGGAGGAGCAGGAGGAGGAGGCCTTGTCAAGACGCCCCTTTGGTATATCGGGATGGGAATATTGGACAGGAGATTGATTCACTATAATGGACTTTCCTAGTAACTTCACCCCTAAGCTTATTACATTCAGAATTTTCCTTAATAATCCAACAATACATTTTCAGTATCTGTCGAGTCTTTGTTTAAGTCTTGCTGGGAAAAATATTCTGATCGCTACCAATTGAAGCTTCCATTATAATTCTGGTTCCAATAACAAATACAAAATATATTCGTTTATGTGTGTATGTGTATACTGTATGTGTATATGCTGATAACCATATAGGAAACAAAAAAACACGTGTATATGTGTATGTATATGTATGTGTGTGTATCCAACAAGAAACACAACGCTATGCAAAAAAAAAATTGAATTAATACCTTGACCCTTTATAAGATTGGAACCCTTATCTCCCAGTTTAACACACAAGGGAGAGAGATTACAGCCTGTACTACACTATGTACTATAAATACCCTTTCCACTTGTCCACATCACACTGCAGGAAAGTCTTGCCACAACGACACGCCATCACTCGAGTAAACAACAGCTTATGCTCACATCTATATAAAGAACTCGAGGTAGAATGATTCCAACAATAACATATATGTTCATCGTCCAGTCTGGGAGATCTGAGTTGGAATGCCTACAGGGTGTAAGTTGTTTTTATTTTACATTTCTAACACACACACACACACACACACACACACACACACACACACACATACACTGACAGAGATACTATTCAATAATTTCCTCAACATTAAATAAACTATAGAGATTAACAAAACCTAAGACAATATTATAAAAAAAAAATTTCCCTCGAGTCTTTTATATAATTTCCCAGAGTAATTAGTATATCTCCTTAGATCAGATAATCGGCTCTAATTAAGACGTTTAATTTTCCTTAATGAATAACAAAATTACGAGAGAGACGAGGGTATTTAGTGATGATATAAATAAGGTGAATATGAATGATGACATATGAACGTGTTATTTAATACACTACACTATGAGACCTGACATATAAAAATGTATACGATTCTTGAACTATTATAACGACAGGAATATTACAGGATAGTTTGTGACGACGTTTCAAATCAGGAATATTGTGTGTGTGTGTGTGTGTGTGTGTGTGTGTGTGTGTGTGATATTTTGAAACAATTGTCTAAAATATTTTCCCAATAGATTAATCATTCGTGTGAAAAATACAATAACCTGATTGATTTTTGTTAACATGAATTTATTACTTATGAGAAAAATATTTAGATTTGGGAAAGTATCAGTGGTAATAGAGTTAAAAAATAACTTGGCTATATTAAGTAGAAGATATATTTCATGGTTTGGAACTATATCCGCTGGGTCAAAGTTCAATCATTATCTAAACATCTGGGAACCTTTAATAGTTAATTTGGCCAACAGTAGATGATATTATTCACCACATAGAGACACACACACACCATACACAAGGGGTTAAAATTGTCTTAATTGGTATATGAAAATTAATTCTTTATATAACGAAAGACTTAGGCACCATTGTTGCAGATGGACACCAGCTGGGAGTCGACATGTTCTCAAGGCAGGACAGCAGACATTCATCACTTCTTCACACACACACACACACAGACACACAGACACACACACACACACACACACACACACACACACACACACACACACACACACACACACACACACACACACACACACAGACACACACACACACAGACACACACACACACACACACACACCAGTTAGAGCAGTGCTACTTTAGGTCTTGATAACTCAGATGACCTTCTATCTCGCTACCATTTGTCTTCTCTTCTCCACTGCTGTCAGAACTGCCACCGTCTTGAAGTAACTTGCTGTAGTATTCTGTATCATCAACTAAGTTACAGGCGCAGTTCTCATCAATGTAGACTAACTTACGGGCGCAGTTCTCCTCAATGTAGACCAGATTACAGGCGCAGTTTCCTTCTTGAAATGAAATACCAACATTACGAGAGTGCCGTTCTTATGGCTGGATACTGTTGGCTATTTCATCGTTCTCTCCAGTACCTTTGTCTTTGTTCCAGTACCTGTGCCTTTGTTCTTGTACCTGTGCCTTTGTTCCAGTACCTGTGCCTTTGTTCCAGTACCTGTGCCTTTGTTCCAGTACCTGTGCCTTTGTTCCAGTACCTTTCTCTTCGTGCCAGTACCATTCTCTTTGTTCCAGTGTCGTTGTCTTTGTTCCAGTACCTTTGTCTTTGTTCCAATACCTGTGCCTTTGTTCCAGTACCTGTGCCTTTGTTCCAGTACCTTTCCTTTGTTGCCTTTGTTCCAGTAGTACCTTTCTCTTCGTCTTTGTTCCAGTACCATTCTCTTTGTTCCAGTACCTTTCTCTTTGTTTGTCTTTGTTTCAGTACCTTTCTCTTTGTTCCAGTACCTTTGTCTTTGTTCCAGTATCGTTGTCTTTGTTCCAGCCTTTGTTCCAGTACCTTTGTCTTTGTTCCAGTACCTTTCTCTTTGTTCCAGTACCTTTCTCTTTGTTCCAGTACCTTTGTCTTTGTTCCAGTACCTTTCTCTTTGTTCCAGTACCTTTGTATTTGTACTCGGCATCACGTGATAGGACCAACTTTAAGATAGTAAATAAAAGGTTAAAATATTAAAAAAAAACACATATCCCCGCAACATGTCGAGGTGTGTTACTGTGTTGTCAATTTTCCACAGTTCTTTGTTAGGTTGTTTGTGGCTGTGGCCTGGATGGTAGACTATTCCTTTTTTTCATCAACAATTTCTCTCTCTCTAGTTCTTTCCTTTTTTCTTTCTTTCTTTCTTTCTTCTTTTTCTATTTTTCTTTTTCTCTCTTTCTTTCTTTCTTCTTTTTCTTTCTTTTTTCTCTTTCTTTCTTTTTCTCTTTGTTTGTTTCTTTCTTTCTTTCTCTCCTTCTTTCTTTCTCTTTTTCTCTCCATTGTGAAGAAAAGTAATAGAAAGGAAAAAGGAAAATGGTATATACAAAATAATCCAGCTTTTCCCTCCTCCTCCTTCGCCTCACCTCTTGCTCATTAATGTTTACTCAGCCCGAAAGGTCACGGGGGTGTGTCAATCTCTGAGGGACCTCGCGATCTGACGGGGGAGGTGCTGAACGAGTGGTTGGTAAGGTAGCTACGTTACTGAAGGAAGGGGTGACTATAGGGCGTAGGTGACAGCTTGAAAAGGCTCAGGCTCTCAATTGGCTCACCCATGACAATATAGCCATCATTATCCACTCTGTATCTGTATTTTCCTAGCTAAATAAACTGTTTCAATATCAATAGTTGATTCGTTCTCAAGCAAGGTGAAGGTAGGGCTGTTTCTCTAATGGGGTAATGGTGTTTAAAGCCATTGGGATATCTCGTTATCATTGTCAGATTTTTAAACCTTCTGAAGGAATGATAGGGGATATTTGTCATCTTCGCTACCAGACAGTTACAGTAAGTCGGTCATCGGTAACATGTTCTCGTATGAGTTGATGTCCTCTTGTGTTCAGGTGGTTGGGTGGATATCTAAGGAACTTATCTTTCAACAGAATGACTTGAATTGATACACATCGGGGTAAAGATTCTCTCTAGAGTCGCCAAGTGGAAGTTAAGCAACAGATATCACTTTGGTTTAGTCCGTGATGACCTGTTTTGTGGTCCGTGGCGAGTAGTGTAGCTGTCCGTGGCGAGTAGTGTAGCTGTCCGTGGCGAGTAGTGTAGCTG